TCTAACTGTACAGCCTTTGGCTTTGCTTGGGCTATTCACAATATTACGTATACGTAATGTTATATCAACTCAACTACACACACACACATACATATATATATATCACTACATGTGTATGTGTGTTTGTAACAGTTAAATTGGCCGCGACACTTGATTAAATCAGCAAACAAACAAAACGAAAAACAACTTAACAAATGCAAATTTTTCGTTGATACGAAAAACGGGGGCTGCTGCGGYTCGCCGAGCTGCCGCAAATGAATATGAATATGAATACTAGTTGTGAGTACATTCACTCGGTGCCCAAACAAAGCGGCCATCCGCCCAAATTATGCGAAATTGTCGCCCAGTTAAAGCGCAGGCAGCAAATCAAAATAAAAATAACATTAAAAAAATGAGAAAAACAACAAATCAAATGTCAAGTGCAGCCAGACGGGCTGAGAGAGAGAGAGGGAGAGGGAGACAGGCAGGCAGAATGGCTGAGTGGCAGAGAGGGAGAGCTACAGCTAGATAGTTACTAAATTGTGTATTTACAGTTGTCAAACTCTTGGCTACAAATCGACTCTAAGCCAGCGGAGCAACGACTCAAAACTTTGTCGAGCCATTAGAAGAAGTGCGACAGGCTCGAGCAGCAGGGCATATCTGACTGCAGCAATGCTCGTTCAGTGCGTAGTGACTCAGTGAGCGCATATCATACACAGACATAATATTGTTAGCTCAAGCCGCAGAGCAGCTCCAGAAACGAAGCTGACCGAGGCTACGTCTGTATGCTTCAATACAGCTCGTTGGGCATATGTGAAGAGCCTGCCATGCGACGTTAACCAACACTAGCTACCCGGCTGTCGAATAGTCTAGCATTTCCACAGCTGCAACTTCTGAGCAGAAGCCCAGCAAAAGTTGCGCCTGCTCCTCGAGTGGGTCAGCGGCAGCTGCAGCAGCAACTGGCGATGCAAAAGTAAAAGTTTCGCAGAAAACTCAAAAATTCATAAATATACAAACAGATATACACTTTCATAAAAATATGAGTGCATATATATGTATATGTATGTGCAGCTTCATATATGAAGCGACGACTGCAAAAATCGTGTAACGAAATTTCGCTTGAATTTCTTTCTGCTTTGCTGCCACACCCAGTCGATGACAAAACTTTTCGCTCAATAACAACGCAAATAAGTTCAATAACTTTTCGCAGCAAAAGCTCGAGACGCAACGATAAGCAAATCGTATGCATAATTGCAGTCTGAATATTTATGCCAGGCCAAGCCTTCTGCTCTAGCCAAATTCCAAGCCATAAGTTGCGCATACGCCCCGTGGCATTTCACTAGGCAAATGTGTATGCTTCAAATATATCTGTATATGTATATGTGTATAAATATCATTTTATACACTCAGAGTAACAAACCTCAAGTCTGATTAGTTTTATTAGAATGCACAAGCTCTGCTCAAGCTGGAGCTGATATTTGTGAGCATTACGTATACGCAGCCGTGCACATGAATGTGCATATATATTTGTATATTTGTTGCAATGCAAGTCTTATATTACAAACATTACTGTGTGAAAGCATTTCAGCTGCAATTTATAAGCATTTCATTTGAAACTATGCTGCCTCTCTCTCTCCCTCTCTTTGTGTCTCTCTCTCTCTCGCTCCGCCTCTGTCTCTTCCCTATCTCTATCTCTCTATTCTTCCCCATATCTCTCTTTTACTTTTTCCCCTTCTCTACTTCCCTATCTCTCTCCTTCCCTATTTCTCTCTCCCTCTCCCTCTGCCTCTCTCTCACTGTCTCTCGCTTACTTTTTCTTTTCTAGCCCTTTCTCACTCTCGCGCTCTCTCCCTCTCTCTCTATCTCTACCCTTCCCTATTTCTCTCTCTTTCCCTGTCTCTCACGATATATTTTTCTATTTCCTCTATAGCTTTCACCATCTCTCTTTCTGTCTCTTTCCCCATTTCATTCTCACTCTGCCTAAATGACCTGCTGTACATCATATATTTTACATATATACCTATACAT